CGTATGCATGCTCAGCTGTAACTCGTGATGGTGACGTCTGCTGCTGTTTAAATCTTTAGCTTCATTTTTGTCTTTGTCCCACTCAGATCCTTTGACTCCTGGTGTGTGACTTTGGACCTCTACCCACCACTGAGTCCCACACCTGTCCCGATTGAACCTTCCCTGTCCCACCCGCCCTCATGCACGTTCCTACCTGTTGTGGTTTCTTCTGCTCTTGCTTGGGCTGGACCGCTGGAGCAGATGACACTGTGTGGATGAGGTATTCCTTCCACCACAGAGACACAAACTGCTCCATGTTGTGCGAGTAGCTGCTGTTTCCCTGCGAGCTCCAGGGTTTGTCTGCTCCGAGGAAGTGGATGATCTTTGCACCGTGGCCGAACCTGCAAGAACAAACCTGTAACTCCAACATGTCCAACTGTGGCTGTAAAACCAGCAACACAGAGACGAAACCCACACAGAGTATTTCCCAATTTATCCTCAAACCCATATTTATGTTGCAGAAGGTTCATTGGAGCGTCATCAGCTGTCACCGTTTGTTTCTGTGAGTTTATTCTCGTTGTGTTCAGACTGTAAGGTTACATGCACAGTTGCTCTTGTGCCAATTCACACACATTAAAAACGAACAACAGAAAACGTGCAGGGCTTAAAAACCATCCTGACTTCTTCTGAGTTTTTGTACCTGAAATTAAGGTACACTACAACACTACAGATGTATAAACACACACCAGATAACTGCATCCAATCAACGGTCGCCTTCATAGACAAGCTGAAAAGTGTCACACAGATGAAAAAGAAGCAAAGCGTTGTGTAAAACACCAGGACTCATTTAACCAGCAGGATTATGGACCTGTGGCCTCCTGCTGAAGCACTTTCCTACTTTACCCGACTGCCTCGTTCACACCAGCACGTCTTTATGTATAAGAGCTTTCTAGCCAGCGTTTTTCATACAGAGCTTTTGATGCCACATTCAAAACTGCAGCATTAAGACTGATCATGTCCAGCAACAGTTGGACATGTATATACAGTGTTGGGAAGGTTACTTTTAAAATGTAT